CCTCCCCCCCCCCCCCCCTTTTATATTCTTTTTCCACATCTCTGGCCATGCTTTACTAAGGTCATGTATTCTTCTACTGTCCAGGTCTCACCTAGAAGCATGCTGCTGCGCCGTTATTTATTAAGTTCCATTTTTTCGCCCCTATTGTTTGGTTGGATTGTTGTTGTTCTGGATGGATTGTTTTGCCCAAGTTGTGCAGGGGGAGGGAGGTGCTGCTATTAAGGGCATTCTCCACTTAGCCACCCAATTTTTCTCCCCGTTCGTTCGGGGTGCGGGCTTGTGTTGTAAATAGCATGATCCTCTCATGTCGTGGTTTTTAAGGCATAAAGGATCAGAGCTTGAGGTTGTAATACTGGATAGTGTGCAGTTACCATTTGCTCAAAGCAGGAAATAGGGACAATGACAATTCACTCAACGGCATTTGCCAACTATTCTAGTTTTTGCGCTTGTGGCTTTTTGAATTTTATTTCTTTGATGTGTTTCAAATTTTATCCTATACTTTTAAATATTGTCTAGATTTATCCTCTGTTATATTATCCAGTCATATTTACCCCTATTGTTATACCTTCTGGCCTTATATACCCTTCTACTTTCATATATTTATAATCTGTATTTACCTTCTAGAGTTGGCAGACTTTTAAAAGTTACCTCTCAATCCTGATGGATAATCCATAATAACCTAAATCCCTTTTTTAAGGCACTTATTCTTCTCATTTAATTTTTATTTATTATTATAAATAAATGCCACAACTCTCACATTAGCTTTTATCTCCTATATTATCGTTATCAAGTATGATTTCTATTAACATAAAGGTTTATTTTAATATTCTCAACGCATCAACATAATATACACGTATAAAAGTAAAAGGGAAAAAAACTACAAGTTGTTACTATTGGGTTAATGAGTTGCTATATATATATATATATATATATATATATAAATTATCGGTTATTAGTTTGATTTTGGTTTTTAATATTGAGTAATTGGGTAAATCGAAAGCCTATTAAAACTAAGTGCACGCTCTGCCTCAATTTATATGACACTTTTCGTTTTTCGAGAATTAAAAAGCTTAAGTTTGTTTGGAAATTTGCTCATGGAATCTTCGATTCTTTTGAAATTAAATTTATATATTTGTAAATTACGTAAAAAGTATTCTAAGTCACAATAATTGGCAATTTAAAAGATATATGAATAATTTACGATAAATAATAGGCTTGTTTAAATTTCAAAATTTGAAAAGTGCCACATAAATTGGGACGGAGGGAGTGATTTATTACTTTAGCCTTCAATTCACATATCACATTGACTTTGTGTACACAACTTCACATTATACAAACGTTAAAACCTAAAGTATGAACCTATTCCTCTTAATTTCTCTCTGTGTTACACATGCATAGTTCTTTTCATTTTAGTTAATACTATTTCTATTTTCTAAGCATTTGTAAAGTTACATTATTGTCTTGTCGCGTCAAAGTGTTGGAGAATTCATATATTTGTTTTATAAGCAGTTTCTTATTAGTTAAATTGATTATCAAAATCGATAAAGACCAAAACTGATAAATCAATAAAAAATATCTTATTGGTTTAGCATATTTGAAAATCAAAAATCGATAATACATAAAATTGAACTGAACCAACCAATGCACACCCCTGGTTCCTCTCCTTTCTTTTGTTTCAATTCCACATATAACTATTGGGCCTTTATTATTTATAGATGTGTCAAAATGAACCCAAATATAGATAATTCGTTCAACCCGTCCATAATTTTATGACTTGGAGTTTATCTCAATCCATTCAAACCTTAACCCATTATAAAAAAATCTTCAATTGAGCCCAAGTTAATCTTCAATTTCAACTTGTTTTAAGACTCTTTATTTACATTGGTGTTATGTATGTTCCCATATTGAAAGTGTAACTCAAGTTGAAATTCATGGTTATAAAAGGTAATTAACAATATGTTAAAATTATTGAGATTAAGCGGGTCCAATTGGACGGGTCTTGACCTAACTTGATTTTAGCCCAACTTGTCACGACCTAAAAACACAAGCCGTGATGACAACTATCTTCCCAACCGATAGGTAAGGCAACCCACTAATTTTATCTATTCAGTTTAATATATGGATGAAAAATAAATGACAAGAAAAAAATAATCTCAAATACGAAGTCTTTCACAAGTATGAAATACGGAAAAACTTAAATATCATGTCACGCCCGAGCCTACACTCTGGACGTGGCCGACACTCGAGAACCATTGTTGGTTCCCAAGTGAACCCTTGGCCTGACTGAATACTTAGCGGAAGACTTACTCAAGCAAAAATGAAACTTTCAATCCATAATTAAACTTAATAGTCTCAATTAAATTCAACTCAAATAAATGTCTGGAAATACTTTAAGTAATAGTTTTCAAGATCTCGAAACAGAAAGGAACATGCTGAGAGACTCATCAACTCTAACTATCTATGTAGCCTCTATAGTTCAACATGGATATCGGGAAAAGACCCACAACACCCTAAAATGACTAAATTTTAAGGAGAAGGGGAGTCCTCCGGAATGTAAGGAGGCTCACCAAAATCTAACTAGAGTGCCAAATGATCTCAAAAAAGCGTCTGTTGATTATCCTGAACACCTATATCTACATCATAAAAGATGCAGGTCGAATGACATCAGTACATTGAATGCGCGAGTATGTAATATAATCGAGGCAAAATAACTGAATGTAAAAACGGCAAAAGATATAACATAAACTCAACTTACAGTAAAGAATTAAAGGAATGAAATCATATAACTTTACAAGATACTTTCTCATCTATGAACTTTAATACAATAAGTGATATATAAAAAATATACTTTAATTCTATTAGGAGATTCTCTAACTGACAACCATCACTATGAGCTACGTGATGATACAATGTCTTGTCCACACTGCCAAAAATGTCCTATATCGTGTTGGAATATAGAACCTCTCAACTAAGTGGATCCACTAAGCTCTGTCCGAAGGCACTAAGGATTCATCTAAAAATTATGATCCTGTACCCATGTTGGCAAGACATGGTTTATAGAGGTTGTGAGTTGTCTGAACTCTCCCCCATATCGGTGCTCAATACTACTCCCAATAATATATACCTTTGCTCAAATGTATAAAAACATTCTCTGGTTTGAGGCAATTGCTCAAACTATCCTCTTAAAAGAGGTAAATGCTCTGAAATCTCTTTGAAACTCATTGCTCATTTAGAAAACAAGGTTTCTCTTTGCTCAATGTAAAAATACATTCTGGGTTGAGATAATTACTCAAAAGAGGCCTCTTTAAGAGGTAACTGCTCTGTACTTAATCTTTTTAAAAACTCTTTTAACTTTTCTCAAAAAAGTATACTCTTTTTCTTCATGTAAAAAAATGAAACGTTTGGGAAATACTTAGTTCCCTTGTACTCTTTCTCAAAGTGCTCTTTACTTCATGATGAGTCCATAAATTGGACTCATTTAGGGCTATATTTTAATAGAAATTGTGTCCTCAAATGCTTATTTTATTCAATATCTGATGAAAACCCTTAAGTTTCAGGTATTTGATATTTGAAGGAAAGCATGGACACTACGTCGTAAAAAAGAACGAAAAGGCCGAGAAGAACGAAGAAATGAAGGCCTGAGGATCGCCGAGTCCACTTGGTGAGTTGTCGAAAGGTCTTACTCCGCCTTTTGTTCCAGTGTGCTGAGCCCTGAAGGAAAGGATCAAGTCAGCGGAGAGAGGGAGCAGTTGACGCATCGCCGAGAAGTTTCGCGAAACAGTACCATGTCGCCCAATGACCCAAAGTACGACGATGTTGAAGGCTGGTGCAAGACGGCGATGAACTACACCAAAGGGCGAATCGCCGAGTTGATCAACGATTTCGACTAAGGATGCCGAATAATCCGCTGCAGCACAAATCTGTGAAAACTATAAATACTAGTTAGAGTTGTAGTTTTAGGAGTCGAACAATTATTATAATTTTCATATAGAATAGTACTCTTTAGTATTTTTTTCTCTGAGTTTTGAGAGGGTTTTTGAAGACTTGAAGAAAAATAGGGTTTCATCTCCAAGGGTTTGGACTTGGGTCTTTTGGATTCTTCACTCTTGGCCTGTTAACAAGACTTAAATCTTCACACTCATTTGAATGCAAGCTCATTTAGGTATAAATTTCTATCTCTTGATGTGTGGCTAAAATCCCCAATTCTTGGAGTGTGATTTAGTGAATATGGGTTAAGATAATTGTTGGGTCTTGTTTGCTGATAGTTTAATCGTAGTTTAATTGTGATTTCCTTTAGTGGTTGTGGATGAATTTAATGAATTTGTAGTTGCAATTACAAGTTTATTTATGTGTTTTCGGCTTGCTCGAGAGAGAGGTCGTAAAACTAAGACCACTAGATTGATGGCCAGTGTGAGTGGGTCGACATGAGGTTCAGCTCGAGAGAGTGAACCTTAGTCCCATGTCCACACACTCAGCTCGAGAGAGTGAGTGGGTTGAGGCGTATGTTGGTCTTCATGCGGCAAGTAGGTGTCCGAGAGGAACACATTTGAAACG